TATCGCCCCCACAGTCTGGGTCCTCATTTCACCCACCTCGGAAGGATGGAAGGCTGAGTCGACCTTGAGCCGGTGAGATTAGAACCGCTGAACTGCAGATAACAGTCAGCTGAAGTGGCCTGCAGTACTGCACCCTAACCACTGTGCCACCTTGGCTCTTCGAGCTCAAGAGATTATGCTCCCCAGACTCTTCCCATACTCCTTCCATCTTAGGGAACAAATCTGGCAAAAGCAAAATGTTCACACAGCAGAGGTCACACCCTTCAAATATACTTAAGTGGGACTGTTGGTTTCCTATTTTTTTGTGAGATTAAAAAGCGAGGAAGGAAAGTGGATTAGGAAATGTATCATGCCAGCAGGAAATAAATTCCTGCTGGCATCTGTCAAAAGGGGTTGCTATATCAATAATAGGGAACTATTAACTCTCTATCTAAACCCAGAGAGTTCAGCGGAAAGATGGGAAGATGTCAAATCATAACTTTTATCAGTGTTGAGTAAATAATAATGTTAATAAAATCAGAATATAGAAAGAAAATATTTGAGAAATTTACTGGAGGAATTCTGACCACTTTTAGCTAAACCAGCAATTTGAGATCAGAAGGCAAAGGTCTTAATTTGGTAAAAAGAGAAATATTGAAAACCAAATAAATGTTTACTGGAAAATGCATTTTTCTATTTTAAAAATGTATTTTCTAAGAAAATGGTGGTTCAGTATAGCAGATGGAAGACTAACTATTGAATGGATATTTCTGCAATCAACAGTCAAGAAACAGACAGTATTTTATTTGAGATTTATTTCTGGATTTTCCATCTACCGGTAACTGCTTAATTTTTGATGTAATTGTGGCTTCATAGAAAACTTATAAAATAATGGTGGATAAATATTTTATTATCTGCCATTTCTGAAACAGGACTTTCCAGGCTGTTTTAAACTGAAAATCTAATTCCATGATTTTTCTTTACAGGATTTCCTCAAATACTCTAAAAAAGCTAATCTTGATACAACAGAATTAGAGGTACTTGAAAAATGTTACTTACTTTTAAATAAGTATTTATGTATTTATGATCCCAGGTCAATAAAAATATTGCTTTAAAACCATTCCTAACACCATCTTGGTAAGTTTTATAGTAATAACAATCTAGTACACTTATTCAGTTCTATGACAAAATCATTGCTTTTCTTCCCTACTCCTCTGTTCATGGAAAGATGTTAATAGGTTATATAATTTATATTCTGGAAAGTGATGGCTAGCCAGGTGACACTTCTAAAATTCATTTTAATGCACCAAAGCCAATGGATGGCAACAACAGTTTCATTCAAAACTCTCTCTGCCCCAGTGTGTTTTATTTAATAGCAATAGCAATAGCAGTAGACTTATATACCGCTTCATAGGGCTTTCAGCCCTCTCTAAGCGGTTTACAGAGAGTCAGCATATTGCC